TGCTTACCTATTTTTTTTCTGTCTGAATGGGAAAAATAAGCATCTAATTCTTTGGTGTGTAGTATGTGAAAGGTGTGTGTGTGTGTGTGTGTGTGTGTATGTGTTATAAAACAAGCATGTGCTGGGGCATTTGGGTGACTCAGTCGGTTAAGCGTCCGACTTCGGCTCAGGTCATGATCTCACAGCTCATGGGTTTAAGCCCCATATCGGGCTCTGTGCTGACAGCTACCTCAGAGCCTAGAGCCTGTTTCGGATTCTGTGTCTCCCTCTCTTTCTGACCCTCCCCTGCTCACGCTGTCTCTCTCTCTCTCAGAAAAAAAAAAATATCCGTTTTGAGTCAAAGCTGTCAGCACAGAGCCTGATGCAGGGCTCGAACCCACGAATCGTGAGATCATGACCTGAGCCGAAGTTGGACGCTTAACCGACTGAGCCACCCAGGCGCCCCTAAAAAAGCTTTTAAACAAGCATGTGTTAAGTCAGAAACTGTGCTGGGTCTGAGATTTTGCTCTACCTGTAAGCTAACAAGGTAGCCTACCACAGGTCACATAAATGTGTATGTAGGAAACCTGGATCCCAGGTCAGAGGTGAAAGGCATTACCTTGTGTTGTTTCTTCTGGCTCTTATGCCCACGGGCAGGCAGGTGGCATGCACATGCAGTGGGGTGCATTTCAGGGGAACCCTGAAATAGGAAACTCTTAGTCAGGACTACTGTGACCCTCCCCATCCTGCCTTCCGGAGAGAGACCTTTTCTTCACACTGGAATGTGAGGAAATCTTCTCCAGGGAGGGGAAGGATGGGTATTTTTCCTGATTATCCTGGAATGTCTCTGAGACAAACATTCCTAACTAGGCTCTAAATGACTTTGCTCTGAGGACCTGGACCATGCAGAAACGGAAACATGAGATATTCATGGAGAACTGCCTCTCAATAGGATCTACTCTCAAAAACACCTCTTCAAGTACCTCATTTTTTGTTTGTTGATGTGGCATGATGAATCTTTTAGCATGGTGTTCTGAGGTGGAAAGTAAGTATTATGTGGTGTGTGTGTGTGTGTGTGTGTGAGGCAGGGGAGACATGAGTTTATTTGTGAGATGAGTGTTTAATCTTTTTCTCTGTATGGTTGGAATTAGTATCTCAGTTTTCTGTGTATTATATCGTATGACACTTTGTGCATGGTATGATATACTAAGCAAATTTTTCTGGTGTACATTGGAAATGGGCGTCTGTTTGTGTAGGATGATGTATTTATTTGTGTGTGTACTTTGAGGTCATTGCAGCCCACCTGATTGTTGTTTTGCTGGGGTTTTTCTAAATTCTTTTAAACGCTTATTCATTTTTAAGAGATAGAGACAGACAGAGCCCAAATGGGGGAGGGACAGAGAGAGAGGGAGACAGAATCCAAAGCAGGCTCCAGCTCTGAGCTGTCAGCACAGAGCCCACGGGGCTTGAAACTCATGAACCATGGGATTATGACCTGGGCTGAAGTCGGGCGCTTAACCGACTGAGCCCCCCAGGCACCCTTGGTGGCTTCTTGTTTTACCCGTCTCTGTTTTACGAGGGGATTCAGAGAGACACAGAAGTCCTACTACCGCCAGCAGCCTGCTGCAACCCATAGGGATTTTAACACAGGCAAGCACATAGAAAACAAGCGATGATCCCCATTTATGGGGTAAGTGGTAGCTTCTCTCCACCCTGCTTATCTTAACAATGTGGCCTGGCTCTCGTCCCTCGTGGTAACCCTCTGACAGCATAGACAGGTATTTGCCACTCTGTTGTGGCTGCAAGGACCCACGGTGTGTAGACTCAATTGTTTATTAATTACCTACACATGATACCATGTGGACTGGTTCCAGTTTTTTATGTTACAAATTATGTTCCAATTAGTAGCCATGTTCACGCTTAAAAATTTTTTTTTTTTTTGCATTTCTGCCAGTGTTTTACCAGTTTTCCCAATTTATCTTTGGGATAAATTCCTACTTGGGGCTTGCTGGGCCAAAGGACAGATGTCCACGTACTTTTGCAGGATACCGTCAATCTCTCCGCTCTTCCCACTAGCAATGTATGAGAGTCTTATCATCATATATTGGCACCGTTTAATAAGGTAACTTATCAGATGGTGAGGTTTTGTCACCCGACTAGTCAGGGGAGGCCTTAGGTGATATCTGACCATGGACCTGAGGGAGGAAGGAGCCACACGGGCATCAAGGATGGGCCATCCAGGCTTGAGATGGGAGGGCCTGGCATGTCCAGGAGAGCCATGAGGTTGGAGGAAGTGAGTTGGGGACAGCAGCCAGGGCCAGGCCTGAGTCAAGGCAGGGCTTGGCCCCAAGGCAGGACCTTAGAGGTTCAGAGCATCTGCTGGGCTGCTCATCGGCTGCTCTGTTCAGCACAGACTGGAGGCAGGCACAGAGGCTGTGGAACCAGCCCAGACAGGCTAGGTGGGCATAGGCCACGGCAGCAGCTATGGAAGCCATAGTTGGATTAAGACATATTTCAAGATAGAGCCAACAGGATTTCCCCAGGAATTGGATGTGAGAAAACAGAGAAAGAGAGTAATCAGGAATGAGACCAAATGTTTGTGCCCCAGTAACAGAAAAGGTAGAGTGGCTTTTGGTTGAGAGAGGAAAATGGAGGGAAGCTGGTCACCTGGGGAAGCCCAGAGGTGTGTCCTGAACCTGGTGGGAATGATATCTGCTATTTACTGGAGGGACACATTGTGCATAAACATTGGAGGGTATCCAGCATCTAGTCTGAGCTTAAAACCATGGGTGGGAGGTGGGGGGTACCTGGGTGGCTCAGTTGGTTAATCCTCAACTTCAGCTCAGGTCATGATCTCATGGTTTGTGGGTTCAAGCACTGCAGTCGGGCTCTGTGTTGACAGCTCAGAGCCTGGAGCCTGCGTTGGATTCTATGTCTCCCTCTCTCTGCCCCTCCCCACTTGTGCTCTGTCTCTCTCTCTCTCTCTCTCAAAAATAAATAAACATTTAAAAAAAAAAAAAGATATCCCAGTAGAGATGTGACTAGCCGCTTGGATAAAGAAACCCAGGGTTCAGGGTCAAGGTCTGGGATGTTGTTGCTGACAAGGTCCCAGGAGAGAGCAGGCAGGCCAGAAATCTGGTCTGCATCCTTTGAGAGAGACCTGTGGCCATGCCTCATGAACATGCTCCTGGCTCTCCTCCATTCGCAGACAGATGGCTACGGTGTCAGAGGGCCCTCACATGACTTCCTGGGGTCACTGTGCCCTCTGCCCAGAGCTGATCCTGGCCTATTGTCCCCATTTTTGATGCCCAGGCCTCCACTCCAGTCTGGGTCAACCTAGCTGCCATTTCACTGGAGAATAGAAGCAGCTGGATGAGATGGTGCACAGACCCCACTTCCTGCAGTGGGGCTACCTCTTGCAGTGTGAAGGGCTGCCACAGCCCCCTCTCCGGATCTGGTCCCTGGTCCCAGGTGAGAACTTGGGCTCAGGCAGCCTTCCCTCTCTCCAGCGTGGTCAGCCTCCCCCTGCACTGCACCAGTACCACCAAGGCTCCATACCAAACATAAAACAGCCCTCTAGTTCCAGAAGCTCCTCCACAGCAAACCACCTGGAAAAGTTGTCTCTATTTACCCTCCTCCCTTGAGCCCACCACGACCCAATTTTTACCCCTACAATGCATCGACATTCTACTGGCCGAGGCCCAGAAGCATCTCACTCCCTTTGCTCCTTTCAGAAGCTGACCAGACATCACTCCTTCTCCCCAGCTTGCTCAATCTCAGTCTTTCTTACTGGATCCACCTGGACTTGCTGATTTTTCCACGTGAGCATGGAGTTCAGTCCCCCATCCCTCACTCACTCCTTTGACCAGCTCATCCAGCTCCAGACACTGCAAACTCACACTGTACAGCAGCCGCCTGGGAGCCTAATGGACCTTACAGCTACACTCGCGACCCCACCCTCATGCGCTCCATCGCCTGCCCACACTGTCAGCAGCTGCCCATCTCCCAGTTGTTCCCCCTCCCCACCCCCGCCTCTTCTCAGGCTGATCCCCCGGCAGTGCACAGTTCCTCTCCTCCAGGGCACCACATGCCTCCCGCTCTGGGCCTGCCAGACAGACAAAGCACAGCCAGAAGGAGGCTTTACAATGCCAGCGCCATCACCCCTCTGCTCATAACACCCAGGGGCCCCTCCCTCTGACCTCATCTCCTGCCTCCTCATGCCCCATTCCCTCTGGCTTCCACGCTGGCTCCCTTCAATCTCCCCACTCTGCAGCTTGGTGCTGGCAGGACATCTTCCCTGTGAACCCCAGATACTTGCAGGGCTGTTACCTCTGTGTTCCTACTCTATGGCGCTTTCCCTCTGTCCCTTCCATGCCCATCCAGCCTATTGTAATTAACAGCCACTGCCTCCTGGAACCAGCTTATCTGGCTCCCACGTTATATCCGTTACTTTTTCCTGTTATTGCCCCCCTCCTGCTAAGGTGTGAACCCCAAGAAGGGGTGGACGTCACGCTCCAGGGCAGGGCCTGCGCAAGGGTGGACACACAGAGTTGCAGGGTCAGCCCCGCTGCCCACTGTCCGGGGGCCCGGAAAGCAGGGCCCCTGTCTGTGTGCAGGCCCCCGGCTCCTGCCTGGTGCACGGAGAGCTCTCGCTGCTACGTCCCAGGAAGGCCTGGATCGCAAGAACGAGACGGATTCCGCCAGAGGAAAGCCCTAGCCAGGTCCTGGAGCTGGAGTCAGCGTCAGTGGCCTGCTGAGTCCAGCGTAGAGCGAGACTCGTCCCGCAGACCACACCCTCTTGGTCCATGGCCCCTCTGGCCCCGCCCCACAAGCCCCGCCTCCGCTGCGGGCCCCGCCCCCGCCCCCCACCTCTCCGGATCCCTCAGCCTAGCCTTGCCCGAACGCGCCTGCGCCTCATGACCACGCCCCTGTCACGCCCTCAGGCCACGCCCCACCCAGATCCCGCCCCCTCCCGGCTGCGGGTGGGAGCCTGGCGGACAATGCGCATGCTCCATGTGCGGCGCCCCCGACTCGCCGCTCGGCTCCGCTCGGGCATTTCCGCCTCTTTGTTTTAAACTCCGGACGGGTTTTTTTCTCCTGCTCTTGGGGGGGACCAGGAGGGAGCGGCACCCCCCTCCCGCTCCCGGCGCTGCCCCCGCGTGCGCCCCGCTCGCCCGCAGCCGAGACGGCAGGTCAGTGAGTCCTCACCCCGCCTGGCCTGGCCCGAGGCGCCCGCTCCTCAGGCCTCGGCCTCGGCCCGTGTGCGGGCCCCGGAGGCTCGGAACCCTGGCCCGCGCCCCTGCGCCCCTCGTCGGCCCGGCCCGCGGAGCCCCGACACCTCTGGGCAGGCCCTGGGCGCGGGCGCAACCCACGGGGTCGGGACCCCGGGCGGGTCGCGGGGAAGGGCCAGACCGCAGGACGGGTCACCCGGGGAGGGACCAAGGAGGACTGGACCCCGGGACGGGTCAGCGGGGAAGGCCAGACCGCAGAACTGCTCACCGAGGAGGGCCAGACCTCATACCCACCAGACGGGGACCAGGAAGCGCTAGACCCTGAGATAGGTCACCAAGGAGAGTCCAACCCTGGGATGGGTCATCCAAGAGGGTCCAACCCCAGCACGGGTCACCAAGGAGGATTGGATCCCTGAGACTCGACAGGAACCAGAGACGGCTGGAGTTGGTGACAGGTCACTGAGGAGGGCCAGCCCCCAGGATGTGGTAGGATCTAGGGAGGGCTGGGACACTAGGCTGGGTTCCTAAGGAGGGCCAGAACGCCGAGACTGGTCCCAAAGAGGGCTGGCATCCTGGAGTAGTCCTGTGAGCACTTCTGAGACCCTGAGACAGCCCCTTCTGAGTGGGAGGCCCGACCCTGGGACCTGCCATGAGCAGGGTTCATCCCGTGTGACAGGCTCCGGGGATGACCGGGGCCCCAGGTAGGTCGTTTAGGAGTGCCTGGATGCTGGAACAGGACCATCTCAGGGAGAGCCAGGACACGGATGAGGGCTGGAGCTTGGACACAGGTCCCTGCCAGAACTCCTGAGCAAGTCAGTGGGATTCACCCAGATCCCAAGAGCAGACTACAAGGAAAGCTGCGACCCTAAGCCAGCCCCCCCGGGGGTGGGACCCCTGGGGCAGGATCCAGAGGTGTCCTTAATGTGCCCATTCTACTCAACTGGACCCACCTGCTGTGAAGCCTTGGGGGCCTGAGGGATCCTGGTTGCCTGAGCCCCACAAGTGCAAACCTCCCTGAGGCCCCTGAGCACCCTGGTATTATGAGCACCTGGGCAGGCCCCACAGACCTTCTGACCTTCAGCAGATGCCGCTTGGCTGCCCAGGGGCATGTGTGAGGCTGGGTCAGGGTCTGTCCTCTTCCCTCTAGGGATTCAAGTGGGGCTTCTAGTCCCCATTGGCTATATGCTCCCAGTGCCCACTCCCCAGATCCAAAAAGCTGTCTCCTACCCTATTCTTCCAGCCTCTACTGCGTGGCTGCTGTTCTTTCCTTGTAGTCAGTGTCTGTCACCTTCAACCACTCCTGGCCTCCTCTCCCTCCGTTGGTGGAGGTCATGTGGTTGGGTGGGTGTCCCTTCCATCCGCGGATTTTCAGTGTCCAGGAAGTTCCAGGAGGAGTGGGGGTCTAGCCAGGAGTGTTGGAAGCTTAGGGAAATATTTGGGGGGCACTGGGCCCAGTGTAAGAAGGTTGGAGCAGGTGAGCGTACATGTCAGGTGAGTGGATCGGGCGCCTTCTCCACTCCAGGAAAGGAAAATATTAAAGGAATATTTATAGTAATGGGGATCTTTGCTTCTCTGAAACCTTTGAATGAGACTTTCATCTAAAATTCGCCCATGTTTTCCTTTAACTTGGAAGTGCTGATGAAAAAGTAGGGTACGGTATGTGTTGCTCTTTGATTGGGGAATGACTCCAGAGTGTGTCCAGTAAGGTGATGCTGGAGGAGTTTGAGAGAATGAAAAGCCCAGGAAGGCAAGGGCCTCATCCAACTCAGCTCCCAGAACTGGCTGCCTGGCCTGTGGTTGGCATGCAGCACACAACAATTGAATGAAGAAGTGAGTGTGTGAATGAATGAACGAAAGGCAGAGCAATATTTTTAGAAAGATCAACTTGTGTTTTTTTTTTTTTTTTGGGAAAAAATTTTAAATGTTTTTTATTTATTTCTGAAAGAGAGAGAGAGAGCGTGAGCAGGGGAAGGTCAGAGAGAGAGGGAGATACAGAATCTGAAGCAGGCTCCAGGCTCTGAGCTGTCAGCACAGAGCCCAACATGGGGCTCGAACCCACAAACCGTGAGATCATGACCTGAGCCGAAGTCGGACGCTTAACTGACTGAGCCACAAAGGTGCCCCTAGAAAGATCAACTTGTATTAAGTTTGCAAGCTTATCCACAGATTAGGCAGTAGGATGAGGTACAAGTCTAAAACTCAGAGCTAAATGGACTCCCAAGAGAGACACCTGAATTGGCCAGGTCAGCGTTTCAGTTTGTGCCACAACATTACCACTTGGTTACTTAGGAGACAACCAGTTTTGATTTTCTGATTGACATTTCATTTCATAGGACCAAATCTTAATCAAATGGAGTCCTTGAATACTGTAGCTTAGGAACTTTTATTTGCCAAATGTGACCACACTTGGGACCTTCTTATGCAACGCTTGTGATTTTTTTCTCTAATACATACTTTACTTTTGTAAAAACTTAATTTGTGAAGTTTTGGAAAAGACTTGCCAAACCGGACATTCAGGTTTGGGTAAGGCTCTATTTCCTATATTGGGATTTTTAAAGGTGTGATAGTGCTGTATGGTTGTATTATTTATATATTGCTGTCCAACAGATTACTCCCAAACATAGTGTGTTTGAACATCAGTTATTATCTTACAGTTTCTGTGGTTCAGGAATCTGGGGCACAACTTAGCTGAGTCCTCTGGCTCAGGGTCTCACAAGGCTGCATTCAGGGTACTGGCTGGAATTGTGGTTTCATCTGAAGGTTTGACTGTGGGGACCTGCTTCCAGGCTTGCTCACTCAGCCGTTGGCTGAAGATGTCGGTTCCTTTTCGCATGGGGCTCTTCACAGGGCAACTCAGAGGGAGCCAGTGATAGAAAAAGAGAGCAAGCAAGGAGGCCACAGTCTTGATGACCTAATCTGAGCAGGGACATCCCATCCGCTTTGCCACATTCTCTGTTAGAGCCTAGTTACTAGGCCCAGCCCTCGCTCAAGAGGAAGCGTGTGTGTACTGGGAGGAGGGGTGACAGGCACTGTGGCCTTCAGGTTCCAGCGAATCTGGGGCCTGTACCTGAGAAATAGCCAAGTAAATTAGCACTTGTATATAGGGTCGTGTGTTGCAAGTGCAAGGTTGCAGCATCTGGGCTGTCTCTTTAATTGTATCGGTTCCACTCTTGTCACCATAATGACTGAAACCGCTGGAGCTTACACATGGGGGAAGATAAATTATAAATAGGGAAGATTCTTGGGAGTTAACTTATTTAGAACACCTGTAGCAAACCATGAGCCCCCCCCCCTCCCCCGCTACGCCCCATGCTCAAATTAAGTGGAGTGATGTGGAATTCATTGATAGCTTTGAGTGCAATGATTTCAGTGTTTCCCGAGCATCGTTTTATTCCTGGCAATGATTTTGCTCCAGAAATTATAAACTGACCTTTGTAAGAAGTTTTTAAGAAGTCCGATCCTGAGAGGTTTTGGATATTTGACCTTTGAAAGGAAGGCTCCAGGAGCCCGTATGCAAGGTCTCAGTGCTTAGGACCCGTGACTCGGGGGGGCCTCCGTCTGGCACTCGGGACGGGGGCTGTAGCATGGGGCTGGAGAGGACACCATCCAGGGCCCGGACGGGAAGCCTCCCTGCAGGACTTGTCCCAGGAGCCCCCTGTGGGCAGAAGTGTCCTCTCCTGCTGCCCAACTCTCTGGACCTGCCAAGGGCCCACCCTGCCCATGTGAGGCGGGGCCCTTCACCAGGGATTGGAATCACTTATTTGGGTTGTTTGATTTGAATTATAAAGCAAGATTTGTTTGGGTCTATATGGTTACTCTTTAGTCTATTAAATGACAGGATTTGTTAATTCATTTGGAGCTATTTGCTTAGTGGTCAGAATTGAATTTGAAATTGAAAATGTAATTTTCTTTTACTATTGAAATATGTTGAGGTTTGAGGACAGTTTATTGTTACCCTTCTGGTATATGCTGTGAATAGTCCAAAAATGCCTCACAATTCATTGTGCTTCAAAAAAATGGAACTACAGTATACTGTTTTACAAGTGATAGTGTATCATTAAATTGTAAGTAAGACCTTTAAAAATAATAAGACTATCTTTTCTGATCTGCCATGTTCCTCCCTACAGAACTGAATTGTCTGAAGGCCCAAATGACAAAGAGCAATAAGGAAACACTTAACACATGAAGAAAGAGCTGAGGTGTGAGCCTTGCTTAGATACATTTCAGAACGGTCTGCTGAATTCAGCAACAGCATCTATTGTAAAGAACTAAAACTCACTTGAACAGTCCTTAAACACTGATTATTGGGTTGATAGGGTTTTTTTTTTGAAGAGAACTTCTGATATTTAGGTGAATTTGGAGAGTAGAGGTTGATTGGTATATTGGATTATTTTCCAAATGAATCAATATTTGCTGGACTTTGCCACGTTAGCAACAAATTCCAGATTTTAGCAAGAAATAAGCAAACTGTAGAAAGCTGTCTGTATACTTCTTTGAAGCCCCTGCTAGCTAACTGTGGGCTTCAGGGAGGTGGTGGGTGTTGTGGTGTCAGCCGAGCCCTGGCTGGTGTGTGTGGTCCTGTCCTGTGTGTATGAACTTGTCTGGTTCTTAAAGCCATCGTAGGACTGCTCTTTGATCCCCCACCCTCACCCCCATTTGCCTGATGAGGACATGCAGGCACAGGGCACAGTCACAGCTAGGAAGTCAGGAGCAGAGAAAGGTTAGCCTTTTTTTTTTTTTAATTTCAAGTGATTTCATTTTACTTTCCCCCCGCCAAGTTTTAATTTCAGAAAAAACACAATGGAGAAAAACTGGAAAGTTCTCCAATGAGCAGTCTTACACCCCCAGCCCCGACCTAACAATTATTTATGCTTTGCCATATTTCCTTCATCTCTTTTTTCTAATTACGTATTTATTGTCATTGAATCATCTGAAAGTAGCTGCAGACAACCTACTGTGTT